ATCAAATACACTCCTGTGGACCTGAAAGGAAATCAATCCATATTCCATCATGATTGAAATCATATATGTAAATTCAATCATTTAGTGATGAGCTAGTGCTATAGATGTTTTTGTTAGTTTTTGCATATGTGAATAACTGGCAGGAATTCTATGCAAGAATGTATGAAATAAACACAAGAATGTATGTGAAATACAGGAATTAAATGCAAGAATGTATGTGAAAATATAATGTAAAGGACTATACTAGTAAAAGCATCTATACTCTTTATAATTATTATCTTGTAATTATACAAAGGGACTCAATAGATATCTGTTAAATGCATGCCTGTAGGACTGACTGACTCAAGGAATGTTCTCAGCTATCAGATGTTATGATTATAAGAAATTCTCGGCCAGGTGCAGTGGCTCATGCCTATAATCCCAGCACTCTGGGAGGCTGAGACGGGCAAATCACTTGAGGTCAGGAGTTAAAGACCAGCCTGACCAACGCGGTGAAACCTCATCTCTACTAAAAATACAAAAATTAGCTGGGTGTGGTGGTGGCGCCTGTAATCCCAGCTACTCTGGAAGCTGAGGCAGGAGGATCGCTTGAAGCTTGGGGAGGGATATTACAGTGGGCTGAGATCGTGCCACTGCACTCGAGCCTGGGCGAAAGAGTGGAACTCCGTCTCAAAAGAAAGAAAGAAAAGAAAAACGAAATTCTCTTAATCGTTAAAACTTGCAGACGATAAACTCCTAGGACTGTGGTGAAGGCTGAATTAAATAATATGTGGGATGTGTCTACCCTAATCTGGCACATGGTATGCATTCAACACATGTAGGAACACTTTTAATTTTTAAAAATTATTAAGACGGGAAAATGAAAGATGGTTTGAAATGCTGATGAGATTTAGATTCCTAGCAAGGGCAGGGAAATCTCATTATAGAGCTGCTGGATTTTTATTAACTATAAGTATAATGTCACACGTCTACCAACTTTCCCAAAACATAGCTACTATAATCGGAAAATGTAATGCATATCCAGGGTTTGTGTTATAGAGGCATGAAAGCAGAGAGAGGCGGCTAGTTCTCCAGAGATGATAAGATTAGCTTCCTCTCAGCCTTTAGAGTCTCAGCTGTAGAACCAGGTTGAATAATATTTTTAATGCAGACAATGTTTGTACTAGACAAAGTCAACTTAGCATTTCATAGGAGCTGGTCAAGTGTTCCCCTGCTCAGTGTTCTCTTTTTTCCCCTCTTTCACTGTTTAAATAAATTATAAAGAGAAGAATTTTAGCATGGAATGGCTACTAATCCATAACATGAAAGTTGTGTTTGGGAATATTTGTGTTCTTGGCCTCATGTCCTCCAAAACCTGTCCTTTAAGAGAACTTTTCTACAAGTCGTGTATTTCTTTTGTTTCTAAATTGCTTGCATTCATAATGCAGACATGGTTTCTTAGTGAAACATACCCTTCTAGTGTGTCTTTTGTTTGTTTGTTTTTAAGACAGTCTTGCTCTGTCACCCAGGCTGGAGTGCAATGGCGTGATCTTGGCTCACTGCAACCTTGCCTCTTGGGTTCAAGCAAGTGTCCTGTCTCAGCCTCCCTAGTAGCTGGGACTACAGGCTTATGCCACCACACCCGGCTAATTTTTTGTATTTTTAGTAGAGACGGGGTTTCATCGTGTTGGCCAGGATGGTCTCCATCTTTGTTATGAGGGTTGTGGCATCTGCCAGAATCTTACCCATCCTGTTGTATCTCTCAGTCAGGTAAGCACCTTCAAAGAGATTTTTCCTTCAGCTATTAGATTTTTTTTCCATTGGAAAGTAATCTGCAAAAGAGAGATGGAACCTGGGGTTCCTCTGACTATATTAAAATAATTGGGATGTGCTACATTAAAATCTGCAAAAAAGAGTCTTGGCCTTAGACTTCAGTTGATAAATCTTACAATTCCTCCCCACACACCCTGCTTCTAGGACTTATTTTCCCCCTCGTTTGTTAATACCCTACTATTACGGTATTGTGTTCGATTCCATGGAGACCCTGGAATAACCTCTCATACTCATCCACGCTTTCCTCGCATCAAAGCACTGCGTAGTTCTAGACAGTACGTGGGAGTCCAGCAGAGGCTCATCTGGCTGAAAATGGAGGGGACAAACAGTGACCTCCCTGTTCCTCCTAGATACCAAGGAATCTTGACTTTGTCCTTGAAAAAACCCTTTGCTTTGATTCAAGGCCACCACACCTCTCAGCAGAGTATGGTGGCACCAGAGAGAAGTGGAGATCAGCACTTTCAAGGACTCATATATGCACACAAGCAGCTGAGACCTCGATGGGCTCCTCCCAAGCCTCCTGGAATCCTTCACACCACAAGGGGCAGAGTCACTCTTTCTTGAAACAGATGTCTTTACAGCCTTGCCCAGTGAGTCCATCCCCAGCCCAACATCTCTTTTTTTTGAGATGGAGTGTTATTCTGCTGCCAGGCTAGAGTGCAGTGGCACAGTCTCGGCTCACAGCAACCTCCAACTCCCTGGTTCAAGAGATTCTCCTGCCTCAGCCTCTCAAGTAGCTGAGATTACAGGCATGCACCACCATACCCAGCTAATTTTTATATTTTTAGTAGAGACAGGGTTTCACCATGTTGGCCAGGCTGGTCTTGGTCCCCTGACCTCATGATCTGCCCACCTTGGCCTCCCAAGGAGAGAGAAGGCAAAAGGGATGTTGGGGCCAGATGTGGTGGCTCATGCCTTCCAAAGGATTACAGGCATGAGCCACCGCACCCGGCCCCAACATTCCTTTTGCCTTCTCTCTCAGGAGTAGCCACAGTGTTTCCCTCCAGTTTGCTTTTACTTTGGCCTTCTCAGATGTTATTTAAAAAGCTCCTCTCTGAATTTCCTCCTAGATCCCTCATATTTAGTAGTGAGCTGTGCAGCAGCTGAACCAAAGACCCAAAGAGACAAGGATGCCCCTGAAGCTAACATAGCGAAATTATGATGAACCATTCAGAAGTCCTCGCTGCTAGTCACAGGACACCCACTTTAAGAGGGACTATTCTCTCTTCTATGTGCAATTATATTTTGTCCCTGGAAAATGACTCATCTCTGATGGCAGCAACTACACAAGGAAACAGCAGATGAGCCATGAGTTTTACAAAGTTTTAACTGGCTGGGCATGGTGGCTCAGACTTGTAATAATCCCAGCACTTTGGGAAGCCAAGGCAGCTGGATTTGAGACTGAGAGTTCGAGACCAGCCTGGGCAACGTGGTGAAACCCTGTCTCAACAAAAAAATACAAAAATTAGCCAGGCATGGTGGCATGAGCATGTGGTCACAGCTACTGGAGAAATTGAGATGGGAGGATCACTTGAGCCCAGGAGGTCAAGGCTGCAGTGAGCTGAGATGGCGCCACTGCACTCCAGCCTGGATGACAGAGTGAGACCCTGTCTCAAAAAAAAAAAAAAAAAAAAAAGTTAGACTAGGTTTACGATGGACTAGTTTTAATTATTTTTGAAATACTAAGAGGTGGATGCACAATTCTTATTTTTTAAGCATATGTCTTTAGATTCTGGGTACAACCAAGAGAAGCTATTCCACCTCTTTTGTTTTGAAACCAAATTTGCTAGGATTCTGATTGTCAATGGACAGAATCGATCCCGTGGCCCTGAACTAGTATTTGAGACATGCTTAAAACAAAGGCTGGGTCTACTGACGAAGCAGCTCATAAACATTTTCCCTGGAGAACCAACTTGAGAAACCCCATTCCTTCTCGTCCTCTTTTCCTTGCGTTCTCTTTCGCCTTCTCTCACCAGTCACCTAACAGAGTAAAGCTCAAGACTGCTTGAATAGGTTCAAAGGGTAAAGCTAACTAAAAGAAAGGGAAATCGGGTTTCCTGTGAAATACGCTGCTGCTTTTCTGATTTTGCCATGTGGCACCGATTCTGGAGGCCAAAATAGAAACAAACTCTTCTGGATGGTGTACCTTTACTAAGACTCTAGAGTTGGCTCTCCAAAGGGAAGAGGGCACTTCAAGTTCGAAAAACATTTTTTTGCCATTTGGAGACCGGAGTCTTCCTCATGGTCAAGGGGAGGTATCAAATCACTTTTTCGGAGTTTGCATGCTGCCCTCTCCTGGCCTGTATAGACAGAAGTGTTATAGTACATCAAATGTATTTCCTTTAATTCCACACCTGTGTGTGAGATACCTAAGAAAACATGAGAGTTTATTTAAAATATTCAGGATGTCTCATCAAAAATGTATATACCACCCTCTCACTTTCCATCCTCTTAACTTCTATGTGGCTCTGGGGCTCTGTTCTGCAAATCAGTGCTCCAGTACCGTCCGGGACCCATCAACATGCTGGCCACTTAAAGACATCTTTCCAACTAGAAGTGGCGGCAATGGGAAATTTACAGAAGCCATTGGTCAGTGTTGAGTCTGAGGACCATATTTTAGCCTGACATGTGATCAAAATTAATTCTATATATTATTAGGTCTATTATAGCTAATATTATTAGAAACTATCAAGAAGCAGCTAATCCAAGAAGTAGATGGCATCATAGGTCTAATTTTTAGTTGAACACGTTGTCCTTCAAAAGGATTTGTCTTTTTTGTGGGTGCTTTGTGTGACCCGTTTTAAGCCCAATGCTGGGCACGTTTTCTCTGGTTGAAATAATTCTTTTTTTTCGCCTCGATATTTAAAGGACCCTGATACTGAGCACATGTCTGCAACCTGGCACATCACACAGGGGCAACTGCCGTAGCAACACCGAACTACAAATGGGGCTGAACTAACCTGCTGTGCGCCTGTGCCTTTGCTGTCCCTCAGTGTCTGCCTTTGACCCAGATAGGCCAATCCTCTCCATATCAGTGAGAACTGAGAGTCTAATACCATTCCTTTGCATTTGAAAACGAGGTGTTTACTTTAAAGAGATTTAAAGGCATGTACTTTGTTTAAACTTTACCAAACGTATAACTCGAGGGTATGTGAAGCTCTGGCTGGCTCTACTAAGATTCACAGAGAACGCTCACTTGGGCAGCGCATCTACTAAAACTGGAAGGATACAGAGAAGATTAGCATGGCCCCTGCACAAAGATGACACGCAAATTCAGGAAGTGTTCTATATTTTAAAAAAAAAATCAAGAAGTGCTTTTAGAAGAAAGGATACAAAAACAAAGAAGAAAAAAGAGAATGACTTGATTACCTCTCTCAATGAAAAACGATAGCACAAAACAATGAATAATCACAGCATTATTTATACCTATCTTTGAAAAGCCATCAGTGTCTCCTACTCTATACAAAGTGAATATAATCAATCTCACACTCACAAAGTTGCTAGCAACACGCCCAACATTACTTTAGAGTTTGAAAATTAGGAGGGAAATAGGTCCCAATTTATTGCAGCTCTTTTATTTATAGAAGAGTGACAGATGCTCACAATCACACAAAACAATCCTTAACTACTAATAGAATTTGGTTGGGTCGATTAATTTATATTTATTTGAACAGCTAAATTTTTCACAGTTTCTTTCTGATGTAAAAGGAAAAAAAATTCATCTATAAAATCAAAATGCCTTCTATATATCGTATTCACTTGCCATGTCTATACTTTGACACAATTAAAAAAAAAACCCTATTAAATCATTCAGATCAATCAATGCGCAAAAACTATGAAGTTTTCTGACTCCATGTAGAACTAAGCATGCATTTCCTTTAATGAAAGAAAGAACACGTTCATCTGATAGAAAAAACAACAAACAAACAAACAAAAAAGGTCAATATAAATTCTCCACTGTGATATACAACACAAATACCTTTCTTATAACTTCCTTATGTTCCTTGGTCAGGCACCTGCCTTGGGACAAGGACTACCTTGAGAACTAGGCACTACTGAATGTTGAGTTGATTGTGAATTATCGGTGGGTAAATAGCCCTCTTCCACCGGAGAGAGGGCTATTTAGACGAAAGGTAACGTATGTGATTGCCCCTGCACCTGCTGCTGAGCCATTCCCTGGCTGAACTGGAGTCCCAATCTTTTCCACTGCAGAAAAAGTGTTTTTCATAGGGATTCAGAGCCACATGAATACCAGCCAGCACTTGAAGACTGCAAAGCAAGACCAATCTTTTAACCAAGACTTTGTGCAGTTCCCTCTGGCTTTTCCCGGGAAGGACTGAACTCATTAGGCAATGCTAATTTAATCACGAGTAATCAACAGCAGGGGAAAGTTATATAACCATCTTTAAAATTTCAAATCAAATGCGATAAAATCTCAGGAAACATATTTTTTTTTAACAGAACTCACACCTCGAAATAAAAAAAAAAGAAAAAAATAGGTAGAAGTCTGAGTTTTAGGATGAAACCAAATAAAATCAAAAATCAATATTTTCTTACAAATATCACATCTACTAGATGGTTCTAATTAATGCCTTTTTAATGTGGTAACACATGAGATCCTGAAACTGATGGTGCCTGGCATGCAGAATACAAATGCACTTTTAAGCTGGTAAGACAATGTAGAAATAAATCAGGTACACAGGAAGGATCACTGACAATCACATTAAAAAACATCTACCTCCCTTCTGTCTTTTTCTCCTTCAACCACAGCATAGTGGTATAGTGATATTTCACTCATGAGGTTAGTGCACCTTGGCCACATGCTTTTAAAGCCAAAACTATGCCGAAGTCCACAGTGGTTCCTATTCCTCTAGGGAGGATATCAACCTATAGGTAGGTTGGGAAATGTTCATAGCCTGCTTTCTAACCATCAGATGGTGTTTGACTCCCCATAGTCATAATTAGCATGGCGGTCACCGAGAGGTATTTATTGGTTGCATGACAACATATTGGTATTGAGATTATTTAAAAGAGAAAAAGAGAGATCACGGTCAAGTTTGAAGGTCCTTACTTTCCTCCCACGCATAATTCAATAGGCGAATAAACCTTGTGGCCCCCAAGCACACGCCAACAGTTAATTCCCCGGGGGGAAGCAGGCGAGACACCCGCTCCGTGCTTTCCACCCCCGCCAGCCACGGAACAACAATGTCAGTTTCATTCTAAGTGCCTCGTGGAGGCAGAAATCAGAAACCGTGTCTGTGTCACATTAGCCGTGACAAGCCGCGTACCTGCAATGACGTGGTGGAAGCCTCCTCCTCGAGCCCCTTCTCTCTCTCTCTCCCTCTCCCTCTGCCTCCTCTGGGCTCAATAGTCCACAGCTGGGTCTAAGTTTGGCCTCCCGCTGCCGCTTTTCGTTCGGCCGCAGCCGGACTGCAGCAGACGCCCATAAGAGAAGCGCGCCGGCTGGGGGTGCAGGAGGGGCGAGCGCGCGCCCCGCGCCGCGCGGTCCCAGGCTGGCTGCTCCTGCAGATGTGAGAGGAGCCCGGAGACTTAGCTCTGAATCCTCTCGGCGCTGCATGGGGATATTATCACAGTCTGGGATTTCTATTGGCTCTGAACGCCAAACAAATCACACCAGCCACCCCCCTTCTCTGTTTCACTCAGCGCTTGTTTCTCATCTAACCCACAAACATTGCAGCCACACACACTTCAGTCGCTTGCAATGTTTCTCTTTTCCTCCTTCCAGTCAGTGGATTTACAACCCTGTGGTCAGCTCTAACATTTTTTTTAGCAGACTTCCAATGCTAACCTTCTTGTTTATGTAGAGAAATTCTCCCTCCATCCCTTAAACCAGAAAAAGAAAGAAAGAAAGAAAACACTCATTCCCTTCAGATCTTCTTCCTTTTGTTGATGGGTTTGCAATGTGATGAATGTAGAAAGCCTGTTTGTGATATGTCTGACATTCTCACACACGCACATACACGTGCTCTTACACACACACACACACACACACACACACAATCAGGCTCCTTTTGTTTGGAGTAATTGAAGCCAGTGAAATAAAAAGCAAGTTGAGCCTAATAACCTAAGTGAGAGCTTAACTAATAAAATCTTGAATGAATTCACTGCAAAACACCAATTGCTTGAGTTTGTTTTCTGTTTCAAATAGTACTTCGGTCATTATTATCCTGATTTTTGTTTACTGAATGCAGAGGTTTCTAATGCAAATCAGACTCTTCAACATCCAGAGAACATAAAACAGTGACGCCAGACCAATTCTTGTGCTCCATGGACTTGGTGTGGTATATCAGAAGCGTATTGTCACGCCTGTATGCTTTCTCTTTTTATTATTTTTTGAACTTCTCACCGCTGATCATCTCAGGACTGAGACTCTCTTAGTGTGATTCAGTAGCCAAAGGAGACTATTTAGACTCTCCTGATAGAGGTTCCTGGATGAAAATTTTTAGTCTGTATGTGTCAATAGAGATAAACCTTTGGCCCCGTGGTAGGGAAAGGGCCCAAGAAAAATCTGAGATCTTACAAACTTGGCTGGGAAAATTCAGAATAAAATAAAGTTTCACTGCGTCTTATAAAACAGACCCTCCCTTAGACTTTTCCCCAAAATCAATTTCACTGGTGCTTATGGAAATTTTAATGACAGTTATTCTTGACAAGAAGCCATTGCTTCTGAAATCACTGAGCTCTGTTTTGATTTTTGACTTGAAATTTTTTTTTGCAGTGTTATCCCTTTTGTATACTATTTGTTATTTGATATTCTAGCTCCAACTCAACTCTCAGCATGTTGTGTTGCAAATTCACAGGAAATAACAATTAGTTCTTGAAATATATCATCACCAAGCAGACTACCTGCCTTCTTTTCTTACGTGGGCACATTCCAGGAATTGTGAAATACAGCCTTATTTTCAGAATGGGCCAGCCTGAAATCAGCTGAAATTGACAAAGGAAATACAAAACAAAACCACATTTGGCTGTTGGTTCCTGCTAACCACAGTCTAACCTCAAATGGCATATCCTTATTACTTTAACAACTCCAGTTCATTCCCCTTCTTTAAGTAGGCAGTTTCAAAAAATAATACTGTCATAAATCTTTGAATGTGTAGAGTGTATTTCTCCTAAAGATCTCAGCAGTCTCAGAAGGAAAGGAGTTCTAAGTACGATACTCCAGATTTTCCAGGTGGAGAAACAAAGTGGGAGAATGACAAAGTGACTTGCTGAAGGCAGACAGCAAATAGAGCTGGGAGAGTGGATGACTGCCCTACTTGTTTCATACAAACTATTCGACTCAAAGGAAAGCGAAGGGTTAACACAGCAGCCTCTCATTCCTGCCTGCCTTTGCACACAAGAGCTAACAATTCATGAAATCATACCAACTCGGTAAATAGTCATTTCACATATTATTTCAGAACAGGTCATGATGTTTTCAGATAAGTTACCAATAATTTGCCTTAGAATTGCCTTTCTAGAAAAGAGAAAAACAGTGACTGATAAAAACGACGAGCAGATTATTATATTTCCTGCTTGTTAGTTTCAGGGCTTATTATAGCTCTTCATATCCCTGGAAAGACAATGTAAGTAAAATCATGGATGACTTAAAGTCATAGATACAGCTTAAACTTAATTTTAGATAATAATTCAATCCCTCTGTCCTTCAGTTAATGAAGAGCAAAACTGGATGATTTAAAGGACATCTGCTATAACCAATCAGTTGTGTGGTTAAGGGAAAATAAATCATCAGTATTTATTCTTCTACATTTAGTCTTCTGGTCATTTTGCTATCTTTAAAAGAGGTTTTCAAAGACAATTCTTAAATCCTTTATAAATGACACAGACGTTGGTAATAATAAAAACACTTGCATCTCATCATACACAGCAAGTGGACAGCCACGCATATTCATGATAGGACATCATTTTCTCTTCCACTTATTCACCCACATCAGGATCATCCTGCTTAGTCCAGTGTGGCACTTTTTACGAGAGACATTCACAAATTGGCGTGTATCCAGAGGAATTGATAAGACGATGATTCTGAATATTATAATTTATAAGAGATGCAAGACAGAATCAGGCATCTTGTCTTGGAGCAGGGACTGAGGTGAAAATGATAACGATTTCAAATAGTAAATGTAAAAGAAGAATGTTTAATTCCTCCTAAAAGGAGGAATGAATAATGATGAATAATGATTAACTTAATGAATAATAAGTTAAAAAGAGGGATGAATAATATGTTTATTATTCATACAACGCTTAAAATGTATTGTCATTTTTATAAATATTTTCTTTCTTGATTTTTTAAAACAACTCTGTGAGGAATATAGGATAAATGCTACTAGACTAATTACATAGATTAAAGAAGTTTCTATAGTAAAATCACCCTGATGTAGTCAGGTATGATGCCAGAGGATGGGAATAAGTTGAAATGGATTCTAAACCCAGTGCTGTTCTGGAGAGAAAATAAGGGTGGGCAAAAATCAGGATAGCGAAAGACCTCTCAAAAGTAAAGCTTTTGGAAATTGAAAGAATTTCCCGGCAAATTGATGATTTGGAGATTTTGATATAGGTCACTGAAGTGGTCAAGAAAAAGGCCCAAAATCCTTTGGAGAGATTATGAAGGCATTGTTATAAAGGTCAGACTAGATAACCTAGGGTTTGCTTCAGCTCGAAATCATCTTTGATGCTATTATTGGCCTTTAAAATATTACAGAATAATTTATAATGTTATTGAATAATTTTCAGAGTATGTCATTAAATTTTTAAGAAGATTATAGTTATGATCTATGTCTATTTCCGAACTATAGATGACTACAGATGGTCTTTTACCCTTCTTTTGACATATCTGTGTGTTCTATGATGAATATGTATAATTTATAAGAAAAAAAGTAAAAAAGAAAAAGTAGAAGAGCTTATAATTCTTCCTCTACTATACAAAGATACAAGATTTCCATATGACTAGTTTGCTGAAGACTGACATTGCATTCCCAGTGTGATAAGTGTAAGATCACATTCTTGATCTTGTCTGTACTTACTCATTTGTTTTCTTTCTAACCTAGGTTGGACGCCATTCTAATGCTAATGTTTTCCCCTTGGATATCTTTTTATTTGTCTTAATAGCTTCCTTTTAACCTATGCATTTATTGATAAATCCATAAATGCTTGTTTTGTCCTTTTATATCTATACTTCTTTCTTAGATTATCATAGTTTACATTTTAAATTGTTACAATGATTTTGATGCACAAAGTTTGCAAATTCTTCAGTTTACTGGTTATTAAATATTTATTCCTCCATCATATAAAAACCTTTATTTCCTAGAAAGTCATAAACTTTGTTTATTAATGCTGTATATTTACATCAAAACCTCAAAATGATTCACTGATTCACTGATGTGTATGAATCTACACTCTGATGGTTCACAAATTTCAACTGTTCACATGTATTAAATAACATTTATCTCTCTGTGTCACAGCAATTCTACCCAGAATATATGAGTGATTTATAAGAGTTTTATAGGAAAACATACAGCTCTCACTGTGTCGCAGAATAAACTCCTCGTCCATGAGAGTGCCATCTGTCATGTTTGTGTCACCCCAGTGGAGCAGGGAGCACAACCCACAGATGAGCTGCGGAAATTAATAGAAAAGGGAGTGACCATGTATTCAGCTCCATCCCTATATTTTCCCTTAAGACCCAGGGAGCAGGTGGTTGTGGGTTTTTTTGATTCATTAGCCCATGCTTATTAGATGTCAGCAAGGCCTCTGCACTGTACTCTTAGTTCTGAGATATGGATGTGAAGAGGTGAAGAGGGCAAAGTGAGAGTGAAGAGAAGGCACAGCCACTTTGACCTGCGTGTGCTTATGACATAATCTAAGCAGTGAACGCAGGAATGGTTAAAATAAGATTCAGGTTGACAAATGCAGCTGAAGGAATGGCCAGAATGGCTTCATCGTGGCACCTGCCACTTCCGTAGCTCTTTCCCAGACCGGATAGCCCAGATGAGGAAGGAGACCTAGATAGCTTAGCAGTATCACATACATCTGCCCCTACAGCTATAGACACCAGGCTAGGAGAGCACATTAGACTCAATCTGCCACCCATACAGAGATAATGGTAGTTGGCTGTCGATCAGATTTCCTTTCTGGAGGAGCTATTATCTATCTTTCTATCTATCTATCTATCTATCTATCTATCTATCTATCTATCTATCATCTATCTATCAATCATCTATCTATCATCTATCTATCTATCATCTATCTATTTCACTCTTGTTGCCCAGGCTGGAGTGCAATGGCGTAATCTCGGCGCACCGCAACCTCTGCCTCCTGGGTTCAAGCGATTCTCCTGCCTCAGTCTCCCGAGTAGCTGCGGTTACAGGTATGCGCCACCATGCCCGGCTAATTTTGTATTTTTAGTAGAGACAGGATTTCACTGTGTTGGTCAGGCTGGTCTCGAACTCCTGACCTCAGGTGATCCAGCTGCCTTGGCCTCCCAAACTGCTGGGATTACAGGCATGAGCCACCACACCTGGCAGATGAGCACTATTGTACTGTAGTTCATGATGTCAACACTGAGTTTGAACCCTGTGTCACTTACTGCTTGGATATCCTTGCTTCTTTTCTGGGATTTCAGTTTTTGGGTATATAAAATAGAGTTTACATGTCTACAATGTAAATTCTAGGAGGATTAAATTAGGTTTTGGTTTAGAAGGATTACACAGTGTCTGGCCCAGAGAAAATACT